GAGGCCCGCGGGGGCCCGCGCTCGGCCCCAGAGTTACGAAGCACTTTGCCAAGTCGGCAAGCGCCAAGTAATAGAGGCGCCTGCAAACGCCCTACCCGGTCCCCGTCCCCCCCCCAGCGACTCGGACACAGCGTCACCGTACAGAAGAAAAGGGACAAAACGACAAAGAGAGAAACTCCCAAGAAAGGCCTCATTGTAAGGCCCCTACTCTGTTTAAGTTCTGCTACCCGCGACACAGCCCGAGATTAACTGCAATATGGCAAAACCTCGAGCTTCCAAGTATCTGAAAATCGTTTCAGCACCTCACAACGCGACCTGGAAAATAAGCAGAGAGGGGAAGAAGAAACACGATGGAGGAAGGAAAACAACCCAGAATCTTTGTGCCGAAAAGCCCTAGAAAGGGTCTGTCATCACTGGAGGCTCAGCTGACACCTCGTTGCATTATCGGGGATAATTAACAGGAAAGAAAGACTAATTTAAATCAAAAGGACAGAGCCACTAATATAATTCAGACAGTTTAACCACCCACCGTGCATCTTAACAGATATTGTTAATCATGAAGATGCCAGATTCAGGAAATGAGAAAGCACAGGAAACGCAATCTAGATTTCACCTCAAAAATACCTATATTTTTCATTGCAACAGAGAGCATTAAGATATAGCATAATAGATCCAACAACATAGCCAGGAGTTTGTAAATAAGTTTCCCTGCCCCCAACTTACCCGGCTGTATGTGTGTCTCTTGCTCTGGGCCATGCCGCCGCTGGCTTCTCTCTTTATTTTAATGATTTATTATTTTTAAATAACGGTCTCAGTTCATGGCTAGTAGGAATTCACCAGAGATTTTTCACGTTTCAGCTGATCCGGTCATTCCTACGCCCCGCCAGCTATGCTCCGCTGGGTGCCACAGGAAGGGGGAAAAGCCCTTTTCTGAGAGGGGGTCCTTCGGCGCAGGATGTACACAGATCCAGCCCAGCTGATGGAGACTACTCTGCGCTAGCGCTGCTCCAGACTCTTGTCACAGGTTCTGCCAGCTCGCTGGGTCCTAATGCTCCCCGCGTCCTGCTG